GGAGGGGGAGGAGGAGGACGAGAGAAGAAGACAAAGGGAGGGGGAAGGAGGAGAAGGAGGGGGGAGAGAGAGAGAGAGAGAGAGAGAGAGAGAGAGAGAGAGCATGACACGTGGCACTTCGCGCAACGGTACCGTATCGACGACTGCGGGGCAGCTTTCCGACGGTGGCCAGCGACGACGAGCTGGGAAACGGGCAGCGACGACGGGCAGCGGCGGCGCGCAGTGACGACGGGCATCGACGACGGGCAGCTTGGCGAAGGCGGGCAGCGGAGGGAACCTCCTCGGCGGGCAGCGTGAACTCACGTTCGAATTCGAAGGCCGCCCGACCAAATGTGGAATCGGCGGAATAATTTGCACGGGGGGGCAGGGAGGCTCCCAGGCGCGAAAAAGCATCGAAAAAGGCCTCCCCGCCCCCCTGCGCAAAAATGCTCTGGGCCCGCCCGGCGTCAAACCGGGGGACCAAACCGACCGGGCCGCCCGGGTCCTGTGCCTGACGGAGGCTGGGCCGCCAGGCGGCCTGGAGTTTAACACAGCAAAGGAGTACAAAAAAAAAAAAAAAAAAAAAGAAGGGGGACAGATGTTGAGTTTTTTGTGTGCTCATTGTTTCTCCCCCAGGCTTTTTTGCGGTGCATTTCGGTTTCTCCAGGAGTGCTTTCTGACCCACCCACTGTCGTGTGTTTGGTTTCGACTCTCTACTCGGTATCTCTCTTCATTGGGTACCCAGTTCCGACTTCCAACCCAATTGCACGATTCCCTCGCGCACACAACCCCCGACGAGCCGGTGAAAATACAACGAAACAGTCTGGCACGTCACTAGTTTTTTGTGTGGTGTACAGCAAACATGACAACACACGCGCACACAGTCAGTGAAAGTCCGACGGAACAGTCTGGCACAGTCATGCTTTTTTTCTGTTTGTGGAGTTGTGTATAGCAATCGTGACACAACACGCACACTGGGCTCATTCCACCTCCTGATGAGTCGGTGAATGTCTGACGAAACAGTCTGTGTGGAACAGTCATGCTTTTTTTGAAAGTGGAGTTGTGTATAGTGAACACAGCAACAGACACATATTTGTGCAGCAAGTGGGCCGCTCTGGGGGTAGACGGGTGTGTGGGCACTTGGCGCTTAACCGCGTAAAGGTGGAATCTTCTACTATACTCTCTATCTATACCTTTTTTCTGTTATGGATGGTTCAATGATGATTTGCAGATGGATTGAGAAATTTGAGAGCGATTTTTTATTTATTTTTCCTCCTTAAACCACAAGTACACCGCCCAGGCAAAAGAAATTCATTGAAAACGACTTATTCCGAAAAGATCGGGGGTCGAGGCAGGGTTGGCACACAAAAAAAAGAGAAGAAGAAACTGCGGCACAAAAAAAAAAAAAAAAAAAGAAGAAACTGCAAATTGAGGAACGACGTCCGGGAAGGCCCTGAAGGAGGTGTGCTCAGACTACAACACTCAGGAACGAATCTAACCGCGCCTATGGCTTGTATTAGGTTTTGTTTTTTTTTTCCGTTGTTTTGTTTCTTCTTCTGTTTTCTTTTCGGGTCCCTGCCAGGGAGGCAGGGAGCACTGCACGGACTTCTGACAACTTGTCAAAGAGGGCATATACTCAGATTCTGTATCTAACCGGTTTCACGTCCATATTGTTTTTTTTGTTTTTTTTTTTGCTATTCATTTCTGAAAGGAACCTCCGTGATGAACGCGGGCAGGGAACGCTGCACGGAGGGCATGTACTCAGATTCTGTAGCTAACCGGTTTCACGTCCATATTGGGGCTCGTTTTTTTTTTGTTGCTTTTCATTTCTGAAAGTAACGTCCATGATGAACGCGGAGCTGTAAACGCGCTCACTGAGGGCATACTCTCACACTGACCCCTGATTGTGTATCCAACTGCTTTCTAGTCCATAGCGTTGTTGCGTTTTTTTCTTTTTGGTTCTCTTTTCTTTTTCACGTTCTTTTGGGGGAGTACGAGAAAAAAAAATACAATCGGACCCAGGCGCGGCAAAACTTGGTGCACAGTCAAATTCAGGTCCGTTTAAATAAGGTGCGGGTGTACTTGTGGTTTAAACTACCATAACCTCCGATCCTGTTTTTGCCGAGCCTGATTTTCACTGCGCACCAAGTTATGCCTGGCCGGGGCAGTTTCGTCCAAGAAGGAGCGAGGGAAAAAAAAAAGACCCTTCCCGAACGCCTCGATAACCACCGGATACATTCTATGAGGTGCTCGTGTGACTGTGCCCTCAGTGAGGGCATGCAGCGGACAAACAAAGACAAAAAAAAAAACAAGAAAAAAAAAAAAACTCCCTTATGCTGTGATTGAGGGTGGATACAGGATGCTACAGCATTCAGACAGTGATGTGCCTCCCGTGAAATACGCCCTGCCTGGCTGGCAGGGCACTACAACGACATGAAACCAAAAACAAATGCAAACGGCAACCCCACATAGTGGCCAGATACCCTCGTGAGGGCCTTCCGCGATGTTTTTTTTCTTTTTTTTTCTTCTTTTTAAACTTCTTTTCTTTTTTATTTCGTCGGCTTCCAACCCTGCCCCAAGCCCCGTGTTTTCAGGAGTAGGCTACTGGATGGACTTTGTGTTTGCCTGTGAAAGGTAGTGGTGCTTTAAAACACACACACACAACATAGTGAGTCCTTATGCATCACTCCAATGCATCCTGGGCAGACTGTCTGTCTAGGTTCAACCTCCTGATGGGTCGGTGAAAAGTCCGACGAATCAGTCTGGCACAGTCATGCTTCTTTTGTGGACTTGTGTACAGAGAACATGACAACACGCACACACACACACACACACACACACACACACACACACACACACACAATTTATTGAACCTCTCTCTTACACCCACACCATGTATTGTACCTTTTCTTTCCTGTTTTTTTTTTTTTTTGGAAGAACCTGCCCCTTCTTTCAGGGGGCTGCAGTCCAGTTGATTATTACCGGCAAGAAAAACAAGTACAAATGTCTGATAGAGACGCAGTCCAGCCTACAACCTCTTCCGCACTGGACTTCCGCACTAGACGCTCCGCCGTTTCCTATCGTTTGTTACGACCCCTTGTTGCCCTGCGCCGTTTGTATTTTCATTTGTCCTAGAATTTCTCTTTGATTTCTAATTTTATGTCCATGTTGGTGTCTTCTCAATGGTCGTTGCATTTCACAGCATCAGGGGCGGAGGCTTCAGTGGCCCGTACTGCGTTCTCAGGAAGAGCGCAAGGAGAAGCCGTGGTTGAACTCCCAGCAAGGCCAGCAGAAACAGGAGTAGTAGGTGTGGGAGGAGGAGGAGGAGGAGCAGGAGTGGGGGGAGGAGGAGGAGGAGGAGAAGAAGAAGCAGTTCCAAGGATCAAAGATCAAGATGAACTCTTGGATAAGCTTCTCTCCCGGACTCCCGGCCAGTTGGATATGCTAAGTCAGAAAGGCATTTCCGACAAAGAAAGGAAGGAAGAGGTGAGAATTGCCGCAAACTTGCGCAAAGTTGCACCCACAGAATGTGTTTTTGTGACTTGTCTTTTCCAAGATGCTTTCGGCATGTGACTTGCCTGTCAAAGTCTTTGTGGTCTTGAAACGATGAAATTGTCCAATGCAACAATGTGTTTCTTCCCTGCTGTGCATCGTATCTCTACTCTCCCCTTCCTCTATAGTTGCCTGCCCTGTCACTGTGGGAGAAAACGGTGTTGAAAGGCTGTCGCTGTTAGCTACCGCAGTGACCGTTCCTTCTGTCTGTCTACCTATGGTTGTTGAAGAGAGCATGGCTGTAAACCCGGGCCACTGACTGTTCCTTGTGTCTGTGTATGTGTTTTCTTAACTCTTGCGTGAGCTTTTGGCTCACCGGAAGGGCTACAGCAGCAGACATGTGCATCGTCAAGCTTGTGGCAGTCTTTTCCTATCCGTTGTTTTTTTTTCTTTCTTTTTTTTTCAAAACAAAACAGCCCCTTCTATTCTGGGGGGCATCAGTCCGGTTACTTATCACCGGCAAGCCTGAGAACCAAAGTACAGTTTGATTGTAAGAGAAGAGGAAAGCCTCACCCTTGTGGCCCTAGGCGCCTATCAAGGGGGGGACTGCTACAACCAAACCCACTTCCCAGACCATAGCCTCCCCAGGGATACTTCTGTTCATCGGGAAGCTTCCTAGCAGCACCCAGCCACACAACGGATGGGTCCCCAGGAAAGGCCTGGCCCGGGGGGGCTGTTCTAGCAATCTCACGGGCCTCTCATCCTGTCAATCCCTCCCTCTATACACCCATAAAGGTCATCTAATCCTCGTCTTATTCTTGCGACAATCACCCTCATATCAATCTCCTTCTCTATTCAACGCTCTTTTTTGCACCTACCACCGAATGCCTCTTACAGTCACCCTCATATCAATCTCCTTTTCTATTCAACGCGCTTTTTTGCACCTACCACCGGATGCCTCCTATATCCTTAAGTCTCATCTGCTTCTTAAACCTATCTCCTTCGTCTTTAGTATCTCCGCCACTGATCAAGCTTTCCAATCCTCAGATATTGACCTGGCCTTTATTTACCCGGCCTCTGGTTCAAAACCCGATCTAAGGCCCGTAGGCCTCCCTTATTCCACCTTGAGAAAACTTTTCTGAACACCTAAAGCCAGTAGGCCACCCTTATTCTAACATGTTTGAGAGTCCAATACAGTCCGTATCCATTCCTCCTAAAGCCAGTAGGCCACCCTTATTCTAACATGTTTGAGTCTTGTCCCCAGCAGTATATTCAACGCTCCAATTCAGCCCGTATCCATTCCTCGTCCTTCCTTTTTATCATTTATCCCAGTTTTAGCTCCCCGTCCCATTTTCCCCTTTACCCCCTACCGTCTACCTAGCTCCCTCTACCCCAGTGTCCTCCCATTCCCCTTACAGCCTACCTACCCAAACCCCGATCTATTCTATCGACTGACGGCTGCTTGTGTCCTCATTCTCCAGTCCAGGTGCATAGTGTTGCAAGACTGGTCCAAACTGCAGCTGCCCTGTGCTAAGGTCCTGCGACAGCATCTGCGGGAACGGGGCCCATCTCTGCCAAAAGCCTGCCACCTTTACCTCCCCTATGCGTCTACTTGCATGCAGATCTGCCAATATAGCAATGCGAATATTCTCCAGTGCCCTCTCTTGATAGGCCCGAAGTGGCGGAGATGTTCCTTGCCTACATCTTTCATTTCTCAATGTCCACAGGGCCCATAACACAGCTGCCCTTACAATCTCTTCCACCACCATTTCTGCCATGCCCTGTCTATTTGCCTTAACCAGGGTACCCAGAAGGATATCTGCATCGGTCATTTCATCCACATGTAGCGGTGTCTTATCTGCCATTTTCTGCGCCCACCACTCCCAAAACACCTGCACCCTTGGACATCGAACAAAGAGGTGGGGGACCGTTTCGACCTGGCGGCAATCTGCAGCACAAGTTTGGTCCTTGTGACAACTTTTGGTAGCCTGCCACTGCGCAGTCGGGATTGCCAGATGGTAAATCTGCCATAGCAGGCCCGCCTGCTTCTGGTCTGGCAAGGCTGCCATGATGTTGCATTGTTCATTCCACCTTCGCTGAGTCCATTTAGTAAGACGCACGCCCGGGAGCCACTCGCGTTTAGCCCACCTCTCCTTCAGTTCCGCACAGATGTTCACCGGTTCCACCAGCGAGTTGTAGACAATCTTTGTGGTCACGTCTTGGAGCGGTCTAGTTCTCCTGGGCATCCTCTGGGGGGGGCATTCCCAGTCCCCCGGATTCCAAACAAGATCCCTCAACCGAGTTGCAAATCTTTGTGGTCACGTCTTGGAGCGGTCTAGTTCTCCTGTGCATCCTCTGGGGGGGCCATTCCCAGTCCCCCGGCTTCCAAACAAGATCCCTCAACCGAGTTGCAGTGCAAAAGGGTAGATATTGTCCAGCCTCTTTCTTCCCACCTTCGCATACCGCAACCGTTTCCACCAAGACTCGTGCTATTCTTCTCACGGAGTGCAAATCTTGCAGTGGTTCCCCCAAACCCTCCCAACCCCGTCCCGGCCTGTCCTGCCATGCAGCGACCTCCAGGTCTCCGTTCGGCATTACCTGTTTGACTCTATAGAGCCTTTCAGGTGCCTCACCCCCCTAAGCTTGACCCACTGCCCCACTGCTAGTCTTTTTTTAAGACTTCCACCCACTGAGACGGAATAGCATCTCTCATGTCCTTAACCCGCTGACCCCTCTTCATGTGCCCACGCAGGGCAAGGTCCATTTCCTCATCTGTTCGCCAGTCCCTCCGATTCTCATCCGACAAGTGTTCCACCTTAAAAATGCCCTGCTCCGCCCATTTCCGTCCATAGGCCCCTCGCGGCCCCTGCCATGGGTAGGGGTCCCCTGCCTCGTCACAGACGAAGCGATTGTCAAAGAGCAGCTGATTATAAATGGCATCCGCCGTTTCCGGGAGCCGTCACCTCACCTGAATCTTCTTCCACAAGGCCATTTTTTGAGTCCACACAGTCCCTCTACGAATATGGCCCATCGCAGAGCTGCTGAGCAGGCATAGGTCTACTAGTTCTCTAGGGACCTGGAGAGCATATGCAAGATGAGACAGCGTCACCTCCTGCCAAGTCACCCCCTCCGAGCGCAAGAGAGCCCAGATGAGCTGGCGCAGTTGCAATGCTATTATCTGTAAGCGCGGATCCAGCAGGCCCAGCCCTCCAAATCTTCTTGGTTGGGTAAGCTTACTCCAGGCGACTCTGCATATGGAGTTCTCWGCCSTCGCRTTGTTTGACCACAGATGCGCTTGGACCGCCCTTCTARTGTACCGGAAGGTACGCCYCCCTGGCATATGYATTGYACCCGYGTACCACAGGGTGGCCAGCACCGAGTTCTTGATCACTATAGCCTTTCCAAAAGGCCCCATGCTCCCTCTCGCACTCCATGCTTGCAGTCTTGCTACTGCCGCTGTGGCTCGCATCGCCATCTGCTCGATTCCTCCATAGCTTGATGTTAAATTGGCCCCTAAAAATGCCATTCGCTCTCCTTCGCCCACTGTGGGGATGTCCCACCCTTCTGGAGGGTCCATCTCCAGAGGCAAAATTGTCCTAGATTTCTGCCATATCACCCGTGCTCCTGAGTACCTGCAGAAGATTGCAAGGTCTTCTTTAAGAATATCCAGCTGCTGAGCCGTGGGAACGATCGCTGCGCCCGTACCGTCCGCAAAGGCTGTGGATTGCAGTTCCGCTCTTGGTCCCGCCTTAAGACTGATGAGGCGACTGTTGGGCCGCAGTATCTCGTGCATTGACTCGATGTAGATGAGATAGAGGGCGGGAGAAAGCGGACACCCCTGTCTCACTGAACAAGTTACTCGCAGCCTATCCGATCTTACCCCATTAACTTGCATCACAGTCGAGGCTCCGTTTAACAGACTACGAATCCAACTGCACAGGATAGGTCCAAATCCCCTTCTCRCCAYACCTTGCAGTAGAAATTCCCATCTGACCCGATCATAGGCCTTCTCAAGGTCTATTGATACAAAGGCCAAAGCCTGACCTGTGCATTGCTCCTCCTGCAATATTTGCTGGGCTAGAAAATATTCGACAAAATCTGGCGACCTGCCACGAACCCGGTCTGAGTAGAATCGATGGGATGGAAATCGGGCGCCAGTTCCGCACATCCTCCCTGGCTCCCTTCTTGAAGAGTAGGACCACATACGCATCCGCAAAACCTTGAGGAAGGGCTCCTCCCTTAAGAGCCTCGTTGTAGGCTCCCGTCAGCCGAGCAACGAAAGAATTGCGGAGTTCCTTACAGAGTTCCGCCAGTACTCCGTCCAAACCAGACATTTTGAGCCTAGGGAGTTCTGCTATCGCTCTTGCCACTTCCTCTGCCGTAATATCCTCTTCCAGTTTACATGCATCCGCAAGGTTGAGGCGGCTCTGGACATGGCTCCAGATGCCTTGCTCAGGTTTACTGGTCATCTCCTCGGGAGTCCACTGTTCCTCCTCCGTCAGCAGTTGGCGATAAAAATCGGTAGCACACTTCAAAATGCCCCGAGTGGTACGCTGCTGTCCAATCTGGCCATCGAAGGGGTGATCCATGGCTGTCATTATCGGTGCTGCCTTTTTCGTCGCCACTGTAGCAAAGAACTGTCGTGACATTCGTTCCCCCAGCGTGATCCATGTCTCTTTGGTGCGTCTGCCCCATTTAGTAGCTTCCTCTGCCTGCCACTCCCTCCGTCCTCGCGCTACCTCCACTCTCTCTGCCCACCATTCCTCCTCCGTCTGGCTCTCCTCAGGGCCCTTGTCCAATTCCTCCATCTTTTGGGCGTACTCCTCCCCTGTTTTCTTGTGTGCCAGGTAGTTGCCCCGCAGTAACTTCTGCAAGATATCCCGCAATCCCTGCACTGCTGTCATGACTTGTGCCAGCAGCTGTTCCTGAGTGCACTCTTCAGCCCAGTCCTCCCAAAACTTTACAATGACAGGGCCATACTCCGGGCTTTTGAA